CAAGAGATCGAGACCATCCTGGTCAACACGGTGAAACCCCGTCTCTACTAAAAATACAAAAAATTAGCTGGGCATGGTGGTGCGTGCCTGTAATCTCAGCTACTTAGGAGGTTCAGGCAGGAGAATTGCCTGAACCCGGGAGGCGGAGGTTGCGGTGAGCCGAGTTCGCGCTATTGCACTCCAGCCTGGGTAACAAGAGCGAAACTCCATCTCAAAAAAAAATAAAATAAAGAGAATATAAATGAATTGTTTATAACACAAAGAAAGGATAAATGCTTGAGGTGATGGATACCCCATTTACCCTAATGTAATTATTGTGCATTGTCTGTTATCAGAGTATCTCATGCACACCATAAATTATATGCGCCTACTACATAGCCACACAACTAAAAATGTTTTAAAATTCCGTACGTAAGTCATGGTTTGCCTCTCTAGATGTTTGTTGTGAAAGAATATTGTCCTACTAATTGAAATTTTTTTCTGAAAGAGATTCTTTTTATTGAAAGTTGCATGTATTTGAGTAGATTGGCAACATTATTTTTTCTTTTAACCTTACACTGCTTCAGAATACATGCTTTGAAGTGATTCCAGCTTGAGCTGAACTTATTCTTGAACTCCCAACCTCAGGTAATTCCAGCTTGAGGCAAGAAGTTACCAGATATTCCTGAATGGAAAGTAATTGAAGATAGTTTTTTAAAAGGTCCAGCTTTAGCTTTTGAAAGCTTTGAGGAGTTACTGTTGGTAAAATTACAAAGCCATAATAGGTTCATATTATTACTCAATTACACTTGGCCTTTAGATTTAGATTATCGACTTGAGGAATTACAGCTCTGTCACCCAGGCTGGAGCGAAGTGGTGCGATCTCGGCTCACTGCAACCTCCACCTCCCGGTTCAAGCAATTCTCCTGCCTCAGCATCCCAAGTAGTTGGGAATACAGCCATCCACCATCACGCGCAGCTAATTTTTGTATTTTTAGTAGAGACCGGGTTTCACCATGTTGGCCAGGCTGGTCTCAAACTCCTGACCTTGTGATCCATACACCTTGGCCTCCCAAAGTGCTGGGATTACAGGCATGAGCCACTGCACCCAGTCACAGTCTTGATTTTCTCTGTGTTCCTTGAATCATCAATGGTGGTGGTAAAGGAAGAAGATACATTTTTA